ATGTCATTTTTGCATCTCCCTTTTCTCTTCCTGGCTCTTCTTCCTACCATAACACTAATCTAGAGCACTGTATCTGGAGTCACGGCAGCATAGGACCGAGAGCAGTTGTGGCTGGTCAAAGAGAACCTGATGGTGAAGCTTCAGGCTTGTTGTCGAGGCTGTCTTGTTTGTCAGGAATTCAACTCCAGAATGAGGTTTTTGAAGAAGCAAGTTCCAGCCATCACTTGCATGCAGGTATGAAATCCCCTAATTCTGTTTGAAGCTTGTACTTGTCAGTTGCTCTCCACACGCACGCTTACTGACTGGTTTTGTTCAACTCAAGCAGTTGCCACGCACAATTATCTTCGTTTTGCAAAGTATTGGAAGGCGTTTCCTTCTCCCTGGGAATCACTATGTATAAATTACTTCTCTCCCTCTTCCCATTAGTCCGTGGGTTTGGAGACTTGAAGATGGCCTTGAGAATTGTGCAATGGATGGTGCATTTGGTTGTTTAGTTTTAGTCATTTGTTCTCTAGCTGTGTTTTGCCCTTGGTGGGGGGTGCTGCTAAGTCCCTCACAACGACAGCTGGTGGTGGAAGAAATAGTTAAGGCTTCACCACATATCTCTTACGGCATGTCTTGTAAGATGAGCATGTCTCTGTTACATTTTATTCAGCCAAAGGGAAGTGGAAACTGAGCAGCAGAAAGAAGCATCGAATAGTAAATTACTGCTCTTCACTTTGAAAAGTCGCCTTTTTTCTTGTGTGTGTTTTCAGTCCCAGTGGCGTGGCTATAAACAGAGGAAGGCATATCAAATCCGTTTGGATTACTGACGAGCACGCAAGGACCAAGAAGTGAAGGTAGCAAATGCTATGGGTTTTTTTTTGTTGTTGTTGTTGTTTTTTTTTGTTAACATTTTTGGTAGCAATATTTGTGGAGAAGACTTTTATCTGACCTGCTTTGGAATTCTTTCCTATAGATTCAGTGACTGGCCAGGATGTATCAAGCCAGAAGGCATTGCAGAGATCACCTGCAATATTTCAGAGACCACGTAAGAGATTGTGAAATGAATTCAGTATCTGACACTTTTTTTTTTTACTCTGCCCTTAACAAGTGTAAGTGGCTGTTTTTTTTTTTTTTTTTTTCCATTCTAGATAAATGACGTTACAAAAGCTCAAGCTTTTATCGGAGGAAACAAAGCAGGAGAAGACTACAAAACCCTCAGTAAGTGTGGCCAAAAGAATAAAGCTAATATGCTTTGAATCTCTATTTGCAGAAAAATACTGTTAGTGAGATCTGCAACACGAAGAGAGCTATGAAAATCAGTTGGGGTGAAGTGGTGCAAAGAGTAGGTAGGTAGGTAGGTGGCTGAAGGAAAAATTCCCTCTGGCTGAGGGAGTGGAATGCGCTGTCAGCAAGTTTGCTGATGACACAAAACTGGGAAGAGTGGCTGACACAGCAAAAGGCTGTGCTGCCTTCCAGCGAGACCTGGAGAGCTGGGTGGGGAGAAACGGAATGAGAAAGAACAAGGGCAGGTGTAGAGTCTTGCATGTGGGCAAGAGCAACCTGAGTACCAGTATAGGTTGGGGGCTGAGCTGTTGGAGAGCAGCGTAGCAGAAAGGGATTGGGGGATCCTGGTGGGCGGTAGGAGGAGCATGAGCCAGCACTGTGCTCTCGTGGCCAAGAGGGCATCCTGGGGTGTATGAGAAAGAGTACGGATAGGAGGTGGAGAGGTTCTCTTTCCCCTCTACTCTGCCCTGATGAGTGGAGCATCTCCCTATGAGGAAAGGCTGAGAAAGCTGGGTCTCTTTAGCTTGGAGGAGACTGAGGGGTGACCTCGTTGATGTTTATAAATGTGTGAGTAGTGAGTGTGAGGAGGATGAAGGCAAGCTCTTCTCAGTGACATCCAGTGATAGGACAAGGGGCAGTGTGTGCAAGCTGGAGCATAGGAGGTCCCACATAAATAAGAGGAAAAACTTCTTCACGGCAAGGGTAACAGAACACTGGGATGGGCTGCCCAAAGAGGTTGTGGGATCTCCTTTGGAGACATTCAGCAGCTACCTGGACGTGTTCCTGTGTGCCCTAATCAGGTGATCCTGCTCCAGCAGGGGGATTGGACGAGATGATCTTTGGAGGTCCCTTCCAGTTCCTGACATTCTGTGATTCTGTGCAAACTTGGTTCACGGTAGTACTTTTGCTGCTGGGAAATAGGAGCGCTGATCTTTGGGTAAGTTCAGCAAGGTGGACTCCCCTAAGCTGATACTGACTTCATCCTATAGCGTTGACTTCTGTCCTGATTTATTCCATGCCAGAAGTTCCGGATGCTGTCAGGAGTTATTCAAGCCCATTGGTGTTAATTTGACCCTGGACTGGCTGCTGCTTGACATGCTGTCTGCACAGAGGTAACACGTGCCTTAATTTGTTTCCTGTCCTCTGATGTTTTGTCACTTGTTTTTAGTTAATGCTGAAAACCCACCTATGGCTGTGGTTGGGAAATTTGTTCACTTGCTCGATCGGACCCAGATTTTCAGGAGGAGCTGGAGCTAATGAAACTGTGTGGGGAAGTTGTGAGCTTGATCCGATCTAATCAACAGCTTGAAAATGACCTCAATCTCATGGACATCAAGATTGGACTGCTAGTGAAGAACAGAATGACACTGCAGGTAGGAAATGCAGTGCTGGGAGACTAGGAGAGTGAATTGAGGCCAATGGTAGTTAGCATGAGGACCTTCTGAGCCTGGATCTCACTTACTCAGATTCAGTGGGAACTATTTCCCCCAGAGTTACAGGTTTTCCTCCCAGTAAGTTCCGAACTGTTCCACTAATTACTATGTATCCCTAGAAAGAGAACTGCAGCAGAAACATCAAGGCTTCAAGTGTTTTAAAAACAAAGCACCAGAAAAGAACCCACTCGGGACCAAGGGAAAGCAATAGATGGTATGCTTGAAGGCTCTGAGAACTGTTTGTCTGTTCACTTGTGGTTACATGAGTCATGGACTTGCACACCTTAATTTCTTCTCACGTTTTGTGTGCTGTATCAGAAGGGGGAGGTGATTTTGGAGCAGGAAATGTACTCGGGCTGCTTGGTGTTGGTTGGCTGATGGAAGCCCCCTCTGTCACTTTGCTGACGATTGATTGCCCACAAGAACAACATTGCTGATACAGCGGTGCCTTTTTTAATTCAAGCGGAAGTTACAGTCACCTTTTCCTTTGGTCCTGAATAGCGTAGTGCTATGCTTGACCTTGTGTAAAATCTGAACCATGGCAGCAGTAAAGTTCAGTTCCAAAGGAGGCTCCAGCTGTTGGGCTGATGCTGGCAGCAAAAAGTATCATCGTTATCAGAGCAGTGGAGGCAGTGAGTCAGCAAAATGGAAACAGTCCCTGCTCAAAGCAATTAGTCCTTGTAGGTTCTCAACAAATTCTGGAATGTGGGGCCGAGACAGAAATCGCTGCTATAACAGATAATGTTTCACTTCATGATCTCCTGATGTACCTTGACTGCCTTATCCACACAAAAGGAAGTGCTATCGTGCAGCTTTTTCCCATATTGCGTGTTATTTAAATGTGGAATCTGTCCCTCTGTGTTCTTTGCAGGATGTTGTTTCTCATAGCAAAAATCTTAGCAGGAAGAACAAGGAACAGCTCTGTGACGTGATGACGCTGAACGAGCAAAAGGGGGGTTTGAAAGCTTGGAGCAAAGAGGAGAGGGAAAAGCTGGAAGCCTATCAGCATCTTTTCTACTTGAGGTATGCAGCTTTTCATTCACTGCTCTTGTCATAGATGCTTACGTGTATTGGAACAGTCTGTGCTTCTGCACTGCAGTGTTGAGGCGCTGTCTGTCTTTGTGGTGTTGGCTTTTGTGGACACGTGCTGTATGGGAACTGCGGAGTCGTGGCCTGAACCTCTGATTGATCACCTGAGGTGAGCAGTGAGTCAGGCAGAGGAGCACAGGTGAAGGCAATGCAGCTGTGCTGCTGGAAGGGGTGCAGCCAGGCTACAGCCCTCCTAGACCTGTTTAAGAGCTGGCTACCAGTGGGGAAGGATCTTGTCTGGAGATCTGCTCTGCTGGAGTTTTGTAAGTGAGCCCAGGATAGGGGTAAGCCTTCTATTTATTCTCCTTTTGTTAGCTTAGTCTGCTTTGTCCAACTCTCTTGTTTATTTCATAATGACAACATCTTAATAGTCATTGATTATACACGTGCACTAAGTACTTTTTCTTCTTGTTTTAGACTGCTCCAACATACTTGGCCAAGCTGCTTTTGCAGATGCCTCAAAACAAACCCACAAAGTTCATGGATTCAGCCATCTTCATGCTGCATAACTACGCATCCAGTCAGAGAGAGGAATCTCTGCTGTTGCGGCTGTTGCAAACAGCATTGCAGGAAGAGATCAAGTACGTTGTAGCGTAGGACACAGCCTTGCTGTTGCCTCAGTTTGGGCCGCTGCTAAAATTGAAGCTGTTCTTGTGTGATGTCCTGTGCTCATTTGCTGATAATGCTGAACTGTCCCTGCCTTCTGCTCATGCTGTTTCACGTCAGTCCTTTCTGTAACCTGGAAGGAGGAGGAATTACCTTTGTTCTTTAGGATTAAAGCCATTTTTCTTTAGCCAATGCTTTGTTGCTCAGGGAGGCACTATTTTTGATCTGCAGTGCTTTCCTAAGATTCAGTCCAATCTAAGTTCTCTGCTGTCTAGTAAGAAGGACTTGGCACAGACTGCGAGCTTGGGCTTTACAGGCCAGAGTGAAGCTGACGCGAAGGTCACTGTTTTCCAGAACTGATGAGGAGGCTGAAAATCAGATGCTGTCTGGTTTGGGTTTTTTACTGGCTGTCAGGCTTAAGGATTCTGGCTGTCTGTCGGCATAATGGAGTTGATTGTCACTTAGGAGTTTGGTGTTTATGACTTGTGGCTGATACGGAGCTTGACAACTTGCTAGGAAGACCAAATACATACAGTGTTGGAGGCAGTCATGCCTTTTTTGATGCTTTTAAGTATGAGGATGGTATGTGCCCTCAAACAGGTAACGTCTAAAAGGTTTGTTTAATTATTATTATCTTTTCTTGGAGTAGTAGTTCAGGAAAGTGCATGTATGTGCTTTATTCTCTGCTGCTGGATTTCCCATAGCGGCATGCTGTGAATGGCTTTTGTTGCTGATTGCTTACTTGTTGAAATAGTGAAAGAAAATAGTTGTGCCTGTGTAGAACTCCTTTTGTTTCCTCTGTATTTTTGAGATGCGCTCTTTCAACCGTGGTGCCCGTGGTCAGAACGCACTGAGGCAGATCTTGGCCCCCGTTGTGAAGGAAATAATTGAGGACGAATCGCTCAACGTCAGAACGGATCCGGTGGATATTTACAAGTCCTGGGTTAACCAGATGGGATGTCAGAATGGTGAGGCCGGGTATGGAAGCTGTTGCTACTGTTTTTTTCTACAAGTTGCTCAGCTGCTTTGCATTGCTCTGTTAATCGTTCCAAACCATCCCTGGATTCATTGCATGCATCTGTCCAATTGCTACCAGCTTTTTTCCATCAGCTCAAGATGGCTTTCTTCTGAAAGGTGTAAAGATCATCCTGTGACAGGGGTGTTGAGACTATTGGAAGTGAATCTCATGAAGAGATAGGCCAAGAAAAGCCCCAAAGCATTTCTTCTGTGTTAACTCATAGATACAGATACCGTAGATCTTACTCTACCAAGCCAATCTCTGCCCACAACTCGGGCAGGCTGCCCAAGGAGGCTGTGGATGCCCCATCCCTGGAGGCATTCAAGGCCTGGCTGGATGTGGCTCTGGGCAGCCTGGGCTGGCGGTTGGTGAACCTGCACGCAGCGGGGGGTTGGAACGAGATGAGCATTGTGGTCCTTGTCAACACAGGCCGTGTTCATAGAATCACAGCATGCAGCTGTTCCTGTCTGCCCATGAGAAGGTTTCATCCACTTGGTCATCCTGGTTGGTTGGCCTGTAGATCCCCCGCTACGTCATCTGTCCCTGTCCTCCCTTCAATCTGTGTCTATAAACTCTTGATTGGCTCCCATCCGTCCCCAGTCAGAGTTCTGTGTTTCTTCCAGTGCTTGATGTTCACCAGATTTTGAGGCTTCTGTTGTTGGTTGTTTTTGTTTTGTTTTTAACACACTTCAAGGGAAGTGGTGGAAAAGCAATGCTATGAAGTAAAAGACAAAAAAAGCCTCAGCGTTCATTGCTGCTCACTTAGCTGGGTGAATTGGACTTGTTTTGAAATGTCAAATACCGCTCATCATCGGTGCTTCTGAGTTTCTTACTTCTGGATTAAACGTTTCTGAGTTCCTCTCAGTTGTGTTTAATTGGGGATCACAGAATCACAGAATCACCCGAGTTGGAAGGGACCCCAAGGATCATGTAGTTCCAACCCCCCTGCCTAGCAGGGCCACCAAACATACACACTCAGATCAGGTTGCCCAGGACCCCGTCCAACCTGGCCTTGAACACGTCCAAGGACGGGGCATCCACAACCTCCCTGGGCAGCCCGTTCCAGGGCCCAACCACTCTCCTTGTAAAGAACTTCCCCCTAACATCCAACCTAAATCTTCCCTCCTTCAACTTAAAACATTTCCCCTATTCCTGCTGTTGTCAGCCCTTTTGAAGAGTTTACTCTTCAAAATGTTTAGTCTTCAAAATGGGGATGTGTAGCTAAAAACGTTGCTTGTTAACCAAAGAGGTATTCTGAGAGAGAGAGAAGTGCTCTGGAAAAGGGGCAGAAAGTAGCTGCTGTTTTCTCAGCTCAGCTCCTTGGTTTGCCACGCTTCCCCATTTTTGCTTTGTTGGAGATGGTGGTCAATTCTGCACACCTGTGTTAGGAATTGGCTCCTATCCCTTAGTGAGACTGCAGTACCAGGTTTCTCTGTAGCGTAGTTGTTCTGCCTTCTGTTAGACTAAGCTTGGTTTAATTCTCAGAGTAACTTTTACGCTTGTTTGAGGAATTCTTTGGTAACTTCTAAAAATATATGGACAGGTGGTATTCAAAGTGAAATTTGAAAACCTTTGTGTGTAGGAATATCTGCAGTTGTGTTGTTCTGGAGCTAGTAGTGGTCAGTCTTACCACTTCTGTGTTGAGAGTTGTGCATTTATTTAGTGTATGTATCTATGTTACAGTGTGAAACTAAGATTCTTAGGGACAGCATGTGCTTATTAATGGCAGCGCAGTAGACCCTGCATCTTGAACGGGGCCCACAGCTCACAGGAAAGTAATTGGTCAGAACTCACTCAGAGTAGTGTCAGTAAAACTCAGTGGAGGTCTGTGCCATTGGTTTTGCACGTGTTTTTTTCTCTCCTCAACTTGTCCTAGATTGTTGGCAACTTACTCTATCACCGCTACGTGAATCCGGCCACGGTTGCACCGGATGCATTTGACCTAATGGATCTTTCAGCTGGAGGGCAGCTGACTACAGATGAACGAAGAAACCTTGGTTCTGTTGCAAAGATGCTGCAGCATGCTGCGTCCAGTAAGATGCTCATGGGAGACAGTGCACATCTGAGCATTGTGAAGGAATACTTGTCACAGTCATCCCAGAAATTCAGGTAGAAGACTTCAGCTGATTGTGTTGAGGAGTTTGGCAGAGGACAGTGTTGCAAACAAAGAGGAGTGATGAATTTTAAATGTAATAAATTCCATCTCTGTCCAAAAGGAAGTCTGTTGAAAATGAGAGATTGCCCTTTGGGCTTCCACAATCATGCAGCCTATCAATAGCTGAAGGGAACCTACACCCAGGAGGGGAGTAAACTCTTCAGAAGGGCTGACAATAGCAGGACTAGGGGAAATGGATCCAAGTTGAGGGAGTGAAGATTTAGGTTGGATGTTAGGGGGAAGTTCTTTACAAGGAGAGTGGTTAGGCCCTGGAACGGGCTGCCCAGGGAGGTTGTGGATGCTCCGTCCTTGGACGTGTTCAAGGCCAGGTTGGACGGGGTCCTGGGCAACCTGATATGAATGTATATGTTTGGTGGCCCTGCTAGGCAGGGGTTTGGAACTACATGATCCTTGAGGTCCCTTCCAACCCGGGTGATTCTGTGATTCTGTGAATCATTGATCATAATGACATATAAAATACGTAGCTGGAATTTACAAACTAGATATAGTATATTAATGAGCTGGTCAAAACAATTGGCTTTGCCATACAAGCCTCCAGAGTAAAGGCTGTTTTTCTATGTGTTTATTATGATATTCTGGCCATTGAAGACTGGAGTGTGCATGCGTTCTTTCCTATATGCACCCTAGTTCTCTGTATGCAAACTAGATGGCACTTGGATTAAACCAGGCTGGAATTTAGTTGTTTGTATAATAAAGTAACTTTTGAATGAAGAGCTTATTTCTATCTTTCATCTTTTGTAAGAAAGAAAACTGGAAATGGCTGGGAGTGAGGATTATTCTTGCAGCTAAGACAGAAGGATGGGTGCACAAGGTCATTCGGTCCATAGACTTGTCCTGCAGATGCTTACAGTGAGCGAATGCCGACATGGCCAGTACCAATAACTGAATCTTCTAGATGGCTTTTGATGTGATAAGCTATAGCTTGTTCAATTGTAGTATGCTTGGGAACCATGGTTTAAAGAAGAACAGCTGCTGGGATGCTGATTACCTTTTTCTCCTTTTTCTTTTGTTTTTTTTTTTTTTTTTTTAAGACGCTTTTTTCAGGTTGCTTGTGAGGTTCCTGAATTGCAGGATGAATTCAGTATTGATGAATATTCTGGCTTCCTTCCTTGTCTATCCCTTCTGCAGAACTTACAGGCATCAATCTCAACGCTCCAGTCATGGGAGCAGTCCCACCATGTTTCAGTAACAGCAGCTAGATCGTAGTTAGCCTGGTGCACGATGGCTTCCAGTTCCTCCTGCTTGTTGCTCATGCTGCGTGCATTGGTATAGATGCACTTGAGCCGAGTCATTTGCCTGACTCCCAGCTCTAAAATCGTTCCCCCAGGCTCTTCTCTTGTGAGGCCTGTACTGTCCCCTTCCCCCGTCATAATTAGTTTATTGCACAGGAAGAAAAGCTTGATGTCTGTGCCAAGGGAGACGTACACCGCACTTGCGCTGCCTGGACGATGTGGAAACTGGAAATTCTGGGGTGTGCTGAAGCGTGCCCTCTCAGGTCAGTCTAAGCATACATAGAGTAGACCTGTCGAACAAAACAGGGAATGGACAGTTAAACCCATTCTGTTGGGAAATACTCTCTCCTTCTAAGTACCTTTAGAACGTGAGTTTCTTCAATTAATTACTCAACTCATTTCCTTTTCCTGAATGATCCCAAGTTCTTTTCTCAGGCTACATCTGCACTCTGCTCAGTCCAAGGAGAAATCCCTGCCCGCAGATGCAATGACACAGCATGGCTCACAACCTCATTTTTCATTGCTTACTCTTATGGTAACTGCCATCCATGTCCACCCTGCGTATTCTTAGAGCTCTTCTGGAGTCCATGGGGCAGACTTATGGTTGAACTGAAGGGAATTTTTTCATATTGCTCTAGCTCCAGATGATTATCCCTAGTATCATTATATTAAAAAAAAAAAAAAAA